TATGAACCAGTCTCAGTGTAGTCCTGATCCTCTATATGAACCAGTCTTAGTGTAGTCCTGGTCCTCTATCAGACCTCCATCAGTAAAGAGACCATTTTTGCAAGTTGCACCGTTTTATTTCTTTTGTCTTTCTTCGTGGTTTTAAGAGAATCAGTCGGATCTTAACACAAGAAACCTCAGCAATACGATGTGAGATATCACACATAAACACATTTACACAAGTGGCTGTGAAGAACCTTTATCTGGTCCTGAACCAGTCTCAGTGTAGTCCTGATCCTCTATCAGACCTCCATCAGTACAGAGACCATCAGAGAGAAGATGGTCTGTTTCTATAGAGTTATTCTTGATGCTCGTCATCGGAGCCACCGGGTCGGATTCTGGTGAAACCAGATGAACTCATGCAGGTTCACCAGAACCTCCTTCAGCTCAGACTCCAGCAGAGACCGGTCCACCGTGGACAGACCCAGATCCTCCAGCAGAGACCGGTCCACCGTGGACGGACTCAGATCCTCCAGCAGAGACCGGTCCACCGTGGACAGACCCAGATCCTCCAGCAGAGACCTGGTCCACCGTGGACAGACCCAGATCCTCCAGCAGAGATCTGGTCCACCGTGGACAGACCCAGACCCGGAGCTCCGGAGGGAGGAGGAGAGCTCAACTCCCGGCAGCAGCAGCGTCTCCAGCGTCTTTTTGTTAATATTGTTTAATGGTCTGTGTGTTAAACCGAGAGCCCAGCTCGCTCTTATATATAAATATATTATACTCTCATACTTTATGCCTCTACCACGTGACACGAATTAGTCAGAGGTCTCCGGTCTCGGCTCTGGACCCGGAGATGGTGTCTCTGAACCAGAATAATCACATTCATTTGATATAAATGGCTCCCTGTCTTCCCCCTCAGGCTTTTTTCTTTCTCTGCAGAAAGAATAACAATAGAGGGATTATTGCTCTGCTTGTCAGGCTATTAAAACACGAGATTGAGAGACGGATACAGAGACACAGAGACAGAGAGAGAGAGACAGGAAATGAGTGTGACGCTGAGCCGAGGGGACGGTAATGAAGATAACTGCTCGTCTTCTCCTGACTCATCAGACAGTAGTAGTAGATTAGCAGAGAGCAGCTCTGTGATGAGAACAGATAGCATGTCGCTCTCATTCCGTCTGCAGCGTTATGAAACACGAGGACTCAGAGGGCTCATCCTCGACGCATTAGCTGAATAATAAAACCCAAATCATCTCCGGACTCAAAGAACACTCCCTGATGCCGGAGCACGAACGAGGCCTTCGTCCACAGAGCTTCAGCAGTAATGGATGAATCTCCATTCCTCACATGTTTAATCAGCAGCCTCCAACATTACGAGCACGAGCGCTTCACTCAAGGCTGGTGTTGTGTTTAATGAATGTCTCTCTACAAAGCAAGAAGAGAATAATACAATGTTGATGTAAGGCAGCAGGGCAAACGTATCTGATTGTGGAACAATATTACGATAATAAATCAAGCAGTTTAGCTGCAAGAAAATCTCTGTTTAGACCAGAAAACAATCATGTGACCTATAGAGAACTAATCTATATCAAAACAACTATGGTTGACATTACAGTCGACATATTACAAAAGTATTAGATGTGAAATATATATATAGTGTCATTTATTAGAAATAAGCTCAAAATATATTCTAGTTTACTTTTAAACAATTCACCGCGGGCCATTTAAAAAACAATTAGTGGGCCTCAGTTGGTCTGCAGGCCGTAGTGTGAACGGTGTGAACTGGAAGTTAGTGGAAGTCAATTCACTCATAGAAACAATCACATGAAGAGAAAAGTGTCAAAGAACTCTTAAAGGGCCAGCAACGTGAAGGATGTAGTGACACCTAGTGGTGAAGCTGCAGGTTGCAACCAACTAAATCCTCCCTTCACAGGTAAAGCTGCAGCTGATGCTGATGAACTGATTGAATGTTTTTGCTATTTGGTCAAAGTCTGTTTATAAGAAGAGGACGTAGTCACGGTGACGTCTCTTATTGGTTTGTGGATATTTTGAAGCCTCGAGTTCGGAGTTTTGGCCGTCGCCATTTTGGATTTTTGGCAACCAGTGAACGGGAAGTGAGCATATCTGGACTGAGGAGGAGTGACGTAGAGACGCCGTATACGTCTCTGGTAGAGACCTGTCAATCACCGTGTAGCCCCGCCCTAAAGCATCCCCTGC